ATGTAGATGTGGTGCTTAGGGACATGGTTTTAATTGTGAACTTGGTAGTGTTAGGCTTATTGTTAGACTTGATATGATCTTAAGGGTCTTTTCCAACATAAATGATTATGTGATTCAAAAAGGCTTCTTAAGAGGAATGTAGAAGTGTTGTCTAGGCAGGTGGAAATGATATTGAGGGCTGCAGCTCAGCTGGAGTTAAACTTCATGAGGAATGTGAAGCAAAGCAAGAAGAGCTTGCTTAGGTAAAATAGTATGAAAAAGATGATTGTAGAAAACCTGGATATCTTGCTTATGGGGTGAGAGACCCTGTGCTGGAGGACATGGAATGGACTGAGGTGTTTAGTCTCCTTTGCTAAGTCTTTACCAGCAAGATGTGCTTCCAGGTTTCCCAGTCAGGCGTGCTACTAAAGATTGAGGGAGGGTGGTGAAAGTCAAAGATCAAGTTAGACTGTTGATCTAAGGTGGATAAACACAAGTCTATGAGGAAGGAGAGGATGCTAGGCAGCTGGCTAGTGTCAATGCAAGGCCACCGTCTAGAATTCCTGGAATTTAGTGGTGAGTTGTGGAGGTCTCCAGTGACGCGAGATAAAGCGTTATGCCCAATCTCAAAAAGGCTGATGAGAGTCCTGGAAACTAGAAGCTGGTCAACCTCTCCTCAGTCCCCAAGATGATTAGCAAATCTTGCTGGAATTTGCATCTAGCTATGCGAAGGACTAGAATGTGATTTGCAACAGCTAGCACAGATTTCTGAAGGACTAACCTGACTGCTTTCTAAGAGGAGATGGCTGGCTCAATGGATGAAGGGAAGAGTTAATATCCCTTATCTGAACTTAAGGCTTTCAGCACAGTGTCTCATAGTATCCTTATAGTCAGCTTGGTGAGATATAGCCTAGCTAGTTGAATTAGAGTGGGTGGGAAGTTGGCCGGACTGGAAGGAAGAACTGTCATCAGCAATACAAAGTCCATCTGGTGGCCAAAGGTTGGCGACATTCTTCAGGGTTTGATGCTGGGACTGATACTGTTTAATGTCTGTATAAGTGTTGTGGGAGAAGGTCTGCGTCATCAAGTTGGTAGGTGATGCCAAATTGTGAGGAGACACACAGGAGGACAGGGATACTTCTTGAGGGACCTGACAGGCTGGAGAAATGGACCTACGGGAACCTTACAGAGTTGAGTAAAGGCATATACGAAGTTCTGCACCTGGGACCAAACAAAGCCATGTAATGGTCCAGCTGCTTGACTGAGGAACAGTACTGCTCAACAGGGCTTGGAGATCCTCAGGAATCGACAGTGAAGGCTGTCTCCTGGGTTAAATTAGGAAAAGTGTAGCCAGTAGGTTGAAGAATCATTTCTGTGTAGTGCTTGAGACCACATCTGGTATATGTGTCTGGTTTTGGTCTTCCTTATACGAGGTATGCATGTCCATGAGGGTTACCGTGATGAGTAAGGAGTGGAGGCCTGTGATGTACAAAGAGTTAAGAGTGCTGGGTTTATTCAGTCTTAAAAAGAGAAGTCTGAAGACCTTATTGCTGTCTTCAGTTACCTGAAAGGAAGGTATAGAGAAGACTGAGGTAGGCTCTTATTGGGGAGTCACAGTAGAGGCGTGTAAGTCGAGATGAGAGAGAGCATGCGAATGGTAAAAAGGGCAATCCTGATTAGATATGGGGAAAAAAATTGAACATTGGAATAGGCTGTCCATAGAGGTTTTGGCGCCTCTGTTCTTGGAGGTACTTGGAATTTATCTGGATGAGACCCTGAGCAACTGCAGCTAGCTTTGATGCTGGATTTGGCTTTGTCCCTAAGGTGGGCCCTGCTTTGAACAGGGAATTGAACCAGTTGACCTCCAGAGATCTCTTCCAGACTGAATTACTCCGTGAGTCTGTGTACATAAAAATACTGATTCTTCTCTATAGGTGTCTTGGAAAAAGTATGCAGAAAAGTCTCTATATAGCGTATGTATTTTCTTTGAGAAAGATGAAGTTTAGATATTAAATTAGTTTTGTAAAATTATTCTGTATTTCTTCTTAGGAACTAGCATTCGATCCCTATGAATCATATGCACAGGACATTTTGCGACCTGGTTTTCATGATCATTTTCTAAGCCAATTATCAAAGCCAGGAGCAGCATTTTATTTACAGGTAACTTTAAGCTGTATTATTGGTATTACTATATTGTTGCTTCAATACATTTATCGTTTTGAGACTGAAACTTTATTTTGTTTCTAGTCAATAGGTGAAGGTTTTAAAGAAGCTGTTCAGTATGTTCTACCCCGGCTGCTCCTTGCCCCTGTTTACCACTGTCTTCATTATTTCGAACTGCTAAAAGTAAGAACATTGTGTCAATCTGATGTTTTTTCATAATTCTCAGTGCTGGATACCAGAGCTTTGTGGTCTTAGTTAGGCGTAAAACCTTTTACTAGAATGGGAATAATAAAGCTGCTATGATGAAAGAAAAGCAGGTTATATGCTGTGGTTTGTGCTAGAACTAACTGAATGTCAGCTTGTAATTTCGTAAAAGTTTTACAGCAACTAATTATTTGTGTGGAAGTTACTATTAATTTAGAAAGCAATAGAGATCTAGCTACTCATATTCCTGGAATGATTGTTTCAACACTGGTAAGAGATAATGGCAAGTGACTTACAGAAAATGTCCAAGGCACTCTCAGGCTGTTACTTTGTAAATTTAAAATGACAGTAAAATTTCGCTTCAGACATCGCTTTGTTTTCATAAAAGCTTCGGTGTTCCTGCAGTGTACATCCCATGGTGGTTGTAAAGGTGATATCCTTCCCTCAAAGGGAAGTCTTGGTTGATGTATACACTTCTTGGACTTTTTTTAATGAGGCCTCACATCAGTAAGATAACAGTGAAGACTTTGTAACACGCATATGTAAAGAAAATAGCTACAGAATATTTTTCTGGGGCATTTGTCAATTAGTGTTGATTTCGTAATCTTTGAGGAGTGTAGAGCATTTTGAGGAAAATTCCACTAGAATCCTCATTTGGGCTTAATAGAAACTCGTAAGGGATACAGTGTTCCAAACTTAATTATGTGGTGACATTTGGAACAGAAGTAAAAAAAAAAATAATTCTCTTTTAAAGAAACATGGGTGTGTTTTTCTTGAATGTTTTGTTGTCTTGGGAAAACTCAGTAGTAAGGTCATCTTTGAATCTAAGCATCCACAGTTTTAACACCGTTTTTACTGATTTACATCTATACATACAGCTTTGGCACAAAGCTCATCTTGTATAACATGCTTTTTTTTTAATTTTGGAACATGTGCTTGATCTGTCTGTCTAGCTCATGGGTTTCATCTGACTTTTCATATGTCTTTAACATATTAAGTGTTTCCTTTTATGACAGTCCATTGGAAGGAAGGTGTGATACAGCTTGTGTGCATTTTGTATGATAAAGACCTGCACAGACATGAGATTTCTCTGCTTATGCTTTTATCACACAGTCTCAAAATACTTCCGTGTGAACATGGTATTGTCTTACGTAATAAACAAAGCATGAAGGGTTAATGTCATCTGACACACAGGCATTCTGTAGTGCTTCTTGCCATTGGTAGTTTTAGTGGGGGAAAGAGAGAATGTGTGTTTACAGAAACAGGGACCAGCTCATGTTTGCCTTTTTTAGGGCAAACTGTAGTCTAAGCTAAGCCCACCTCCAGAAGATGATCAGTCTTTTTGCAACTCCTGACTTATACTTTATGTAAAATTCTTGTCTTTTTTCATTCATGCTTTACACACACACACTCCCTCCGCCTTAATCTGATATTGTTGGGCTGGATTTTGTTCTGTGTAGGATAACCTTCCAGGTTTTCTTCCCACTGTGCTGTTTATCTCATGTTTTAGTGAGACGCCCATCGCTGTGGTCTGTCGGATGTGATACATGGAATAGGCAGTGATGGATAATAGGAGCACATAGAGAGATACTCTCTCATGGCAGTAGCTTCATCTGTCAGTTAGTACATACATGCGCACACAGCGTATGAATCCCTCCCTCAAGTAGTCTCTTCTAGCAATAACATTTCTTTCTTATATCTGGAATCTTCAAACAGATTCCAGCTTGGTTATACTCAAAAAAGGCCTGAAGGAAGGGTATTTGTTGTGGAAGGATATTGGTGGAATTATTTAGCCATAGAATCCTGACAATTTCACTGATGCAAGGTTGTATTGAATTCTTTTGTATAAGAGACCTGATTTAGTGATTGGAGGCATATCTATAAATAATCAAGTTAAAAATGCTACGAAAGTGGATCTCTTGGTGTGAAGACACAAAATGTTGGCAAAGTAGTACATGGAAAAAACCATTTTCTTTCTCTTTAATATAGATATACTTGAGGATAAAGGAGTTAGCATTTTTCTTTGAGCTATGTTGTGTAATCTTGCGTACTTTGAAGTTATCTATTTAAAATGCATCTCAAAATTAGCTTCTAACTATGCAGACTACAAAAAAAAGTAAATTTCTATCCACTGATGGTTATCCTATTTAGAAACTAAAGCCCTCCCGAAGCTTGGCAGGGCAGCAGAAACACACAAATACGTGTTCTATTTTTAGCTGAAGCTCCTTGCTGTAACTTTGTTGGAAAGCTAGCGTATGACTTAAGGGCTGTGTTTTCCTTCAACCCACCCGAAAGTCCCCTAACTTTTATATAAGAAACTAACTATATAAAATAGCAACTTCATGCAAGACTCTTTTCTGCAAATTTGCAGAAAATATGAATGGGCTTTTCTAAATGTGGACTCTTAAGTGAAAAGTGGAGTGGTACAAATAGTGCAGTTATTTATGACCTTCAGTTATTGAAGAAAAGCGTTTACAAGACTTCTGAATTGAATTGGGCACTGTTTTCAGATGCTGCAAGTTTGTGTGCATGTGTCATGATACTCTTTCCTTCTTCATGTAAATAGAAGATTACTTTAAAACTTTTTTTTTCAAGTAGGAATGGCTCAAAGCATGTATAAACTTTGCTTAGATCAAATAATATGTTCTGGGAAACAGGAGAGCTGGATAGATATTTTTTTTTTTTTTTTTAAAAAACAAGTGTAGACTTGGCTCCCATGACTTATGAATGAATGGGAACTTGCCTTTTCCAAATATTTTTTTAGTTGGAATTCTACCTATAATGATCTGAAATTCTTAGAATGTGTTCATTTGATCGAGATTCATGTGATCGAGAGCAGCCCTGAGGAGAAGGACTTGGGAGTACTGGTGGACGAGAAGCTCAATATGAGCCGGCAATGTGCTCTTGCGGCCCAGAAGGCCAACCGTGTCCTGGGCTGCATCAAGAGAAGCGTGGCCAGCAGGTCGAGGGAGGTGATTCTCCCCCTCTACTCTGCCCTCGTGAGACCTCACTTGGAGTATTGCGTCCAGTTCTGGAGTCCCCAACATAAGAAGGACATGGACCAGTTGGAGAGGGTCCAGAGGAGGGCCACGAAGATGATAAGAGGGCTGGAGCACCTTTCCTATGAGGACAGGCTGAAAGAGTTGGGGCTGTTCAGCCTGGAGAAGAGGAGGCTCCGGGGTGACCTTATAGCGGTCTTCCAGTACCTCAAGGGGGCCTACAAGAAAGATGGGGAGAGGCTGTTCAGGAGGGCCTGTTGTGATAGGACAAGGGGTAATGGTTTTAAAATAGAGGGAGGTAGATTCAGGTTGGATATTAGGAAAAAATTTTTTACCGTGAGAGTTGTAGAACACTGGAACAGGTTGCCCAGAGAGGTGGTGGATGCTCCATCCCTGGAGACGTTCAAGGCCCGGTTGGATGAGGCCCTGAGCAACCTGATCTAGTTGGAGATATCCCTGTTCCTTGCAGGGGGGTTGGACTAGATGGCCTTTGAAGGTCCCTTCCAGCCCTAACGATTCTATGATTCTATGATTCATTTCACAATAGAATCTAGTGTATTTTCTTTATGTTTTCAGACTTTGTTCTTAGATGGTAACTTGCCAATTTGTACTTTTTTTTTCTTCCTCTTTCACTATGCTACTGTAACTTAAAAAAAAAATTCAAGATAAGAAACCACCCTTTTCCCAACTTGATGGTATTAAATTTGTTACATGTTGCTGGAGAAGGCACAGGGTGGTGAAATGTTAGTAGTTTAGGACTAGAGTATATTTAGGTTGATCCCATAAGTCTCTTGCTGGGTGTTGTGTTGGGCAACACATCCCAAACTATTTTGACCTTTGACTTCTCTTTGATTCTTAGCCTTGTTTCAGCCAGGCTCATGATCCAAAGTGTAACAAAGTTAATGAAGTTGGCTTGTAATCCCGTCTGTAACTGGTGTAACCCAGCCCAGGCTGGAGAATCACTAAGTCTTAATTAGCTGAACTTTGGCAGTCTGCAAAGTTTTTACAGTATCTACAGTTATAGACCATTGTCTCAAAACATTGTCTGCATTGCTTGCGTTTAGTACAGGTGCTGTAATTAACAAGTTCTCTTGCTTTAGTGGATTCTTAGTCTCCTTCAATTAATATTAAAAACAGAAAATCACAGATTCAGGCTAGCTATGAATTATTTTGAGACAGTATTTACTTACTGTCAGCAATGGATTTTATTTTCTGAAATCACTGTCTGGTGTGCTTCTTTCCAAACACCATAACTTGTATGTACAATACTGTTTTGAAATAAAAGTAAAAGCAGAGATATTACTGGTTTACATGTATTTGTGTATGTAACTGCAAATGAGGACTTTACATCCACTTGAGATAATATGCAATTTTATGTCTATGTGACAGATGAAGGCCTATCTGCTGGAGGAAATGTAGCTTGACCAAACTGTTGCTAGTGTGTGATAAGGACTGCAAAGTGTATTTGAGTGTCTTGGGAGAAGCAGCTGGGGTGATATAAAAATTGGTCTTAAGTCTAAGAAGAGATTTCCTAGAATATGACAGAAGGTGAAAAAATTAAGTAATTTCTTCATGTGGCTAAACTATGAAGACTTATCTAACAACTGCAAGGTTGTAAAGGTACAGAAGTTATGCCCTATGATAGAAGTCGGAGGTGATACAGCCAAGTGAATGAGGTTCCATATTTCTTGCTTGTGTGGTTTCATTGACAATGTTTCTCTTGCTTTTCTTCTTTCAATACTATTGAGTTTATGCTTTAAGTTAGCTGTCTGTTGGCAGGCAAAGGGAAGATGATAGGGGAAAATAAAAGTTTGTCGTGTGTGTGCACTTTTTCCACAAACTTGGTTATTGTTAATGTAAGTAATTGGACTCTCTGAGGTGACTCTTTAATTTAAAAAGTTATTCAGAGTGTATCTGTTTTTTCTTTCTAGCTGTGTACTCGTTGAGAGATTTCCTGTGAGTTATGTGCATGTACATCAC